ATTAAGTGAACCGTTGTAAGTCGAGGACTGCCTGTACCTGGGGGAAACTGGAAGACAAAGGGATGAGAGAGAGGAAGCAGAGGGATGGTCAGGACATGGCGGGTTCCAGGATCCCCCAATTCAAATCCCTCTCATAGAAGGATCCTTGGTGCTCTCCGACCTTGGTTAATGTTACCTAGTTACCTGAGCACTGATGAGAGCAATAGCAGTAGCATTTAGACTTATATACTGCTTCACAGTGCTTCACAGCCTCTCTAAGCAGTTTACAGAGTCAGCCTCTTGCCCCCAACAATCTGGGTCCTCATTTTACCCACCTCGGAAGGATGAAAGGCTGAATCAACCTTCAGTCGGTCAGAATCAAACTCCAGGCTGTGGGCAAAGTTAGCCTGCAATATTGTATTCTAACCGGAGGGAGGGAGGGAGGAAAGGAAGGAAGGAAGGAAAGGGAAGGGAAGGGAAGGAAGGAAAGGAAAGGAAAGGAAAGGAAAGAAGGAAAGGAAAGGAAAGGAAAGGAAAGGAAAGGAAAGGAAAGGAAAGGAAAGGAAAGAAGGAAAGGAGGAATAGCATGTATTATATATTGCTTTACAGTGCTTTACAGCCCTCTCTAAGCGGTTTACAAAGTCAGCCTCTTGCCTCCAACAATCTGGGTCCTCGTTTTACCAACCTCAGAAGGACGGAAGGCTGAGTCCACCTTGAGCCGGTCAGGATCGAACTGCTGGCAGTCGGCAGAGTTAGCCTGCAACGCTGCATTCTAACCAATGTGTCACCACGGCTCTTTAATAGCAATAGCATTTAGACTTATGTACCGCTTCACAGTGCTTCACAGCCCTCTCTATAAACGGCTTACAGAGTCAGCATATATTGCCCCCAACAATCTAGGTTTTACCCACCTCGGAAGGATGGAAGACTTAGGTCCACCTTGAGCCGGTCAGGATCGAACTGCTGGCAGTGGGCAGAATTAACCTGCAATACTGCATTCTAACCACTGCGCCCCATAGTTTGGGTCATGTAACGTGTGCAACCGAGACCCTCCTTTCAACCCTGAGTGACAGATAATATTCTCCTTTATTGGCACCCACACAGATGATGGGGGTTCAGAGGGAGGGGGGGGCATATTTCTTGACGTCTACGCTGGCAAGCTCTGATTGGCACTTGTGCCTCGAGCCACGGCTTTGAACTGGGGTTGCTTGCCTGAATAGGATGCAGAAGGAGACATGAACAGAAAACAAACAGCCTGCTTTACTTTCAGTTTCGTTTTCAGCATAGCTTGATTAGCACAAGGGGAAAAAAAAAAAATCTGCTCCAGCAATTTACCTCTTGGCAGCAAGCAGCAGAGCCCTTCCCAAAACGGCTGAGAAGCAAATCAGCTGAGAGTTGGGAGTCCCACCCTATCAACTTGTGCTAATGAGGCTGTGCTGAAGCTGAAAGGAGCTGTTTTTTCTTGCTGTTTACTTGCAAGGAGATAACTGCTGCGAGGCAGAGGCCAGAGGGTGGGCGGGGCTACATTCAGTGTATAAGACACACCTAAATTTTCACCCCCCCTTTTAGGGGGGAAAAAGGTGTGTCTTATACTCCGAAAAATATGGTAATCAGGAATGTAATGCAATCACTTTTATGAAGGATTTGCTATTAGAATAGCAGTTAGAAGAAGTAGAAAGAAGAAAAGTGAAACAGGTAGCAAAAATGAGATATACAAAAATGATCCCCACGTCAGTTAACCCTTTGTTGGGTAACCTTTAGCGTGAATGACGGCCTTACAACGTCTTCCCATGGAGCGAACCAAGCCTTTGAGTTCTGCATCTGTTCTAATGTGAAACCAAGATGGAATGATGGCTTCTATTAACTGGGTTTTATTGCTGGGTCGCTTCTGACTAACATGTTTCTTGAGTTGGCTCCCTAGATTTTTAATGGGGTGAAGGTCTGGGTTATTCCCAGGCCAAATCCAGCAGTGGAATAGGATTCTCTTGAAACTCCAAAAAAAAAAGTGGTGTTATTAGCCATCAAACCTCAAAAATACACTTTTCCCAAAAAGTTTCCACTATTTTGGCCACTACTGTAGGGTTTCCTGCTTCAGCTAAGAAGACCTCCAAGGCCTCTTCAGCTCTATTCTGACCAGGGTGGATAAAAATCAATGATTTTTTTTAAAAAAAATAAAAAAAAATCGGATTTTTTTGATTTAAATCGGATTTTTTTTTTTTTAATTTGATTTATATGCCGCCCTTCTCCGGAGACTCAGGGCGGCTTACAATGTGTTAAGCAATAGCCTTCATCCTTTCGTATATTTATACAAAGTCAGCTTATTGCCCCCACAAACTGGGTCCTCAATTTACCTACCTTAGAAAGGATGGAAGGCTGAGTCAACCTTGAGCCTGGCGAGATTTGAACTTGCATTAATTGCAGGCAGCTGGTCTTAATAACCAGCTTAATAACAGGGTGCCTTAGACCACTGTACTACCAAGGCTCTTTAAATCTTTTGATTTAAATCAGATTTTTTTGATTTTTATCGAATTTATTTTAATAAAAAACGTTTGGGGTAAAAATCTATCGTTGAGATAGTTTTCTATTTAAGATACATAAATAATTGAGTTTATTCAGCATGAAATGGAGCTTAGTTATGTAGCAGGAGGCTGTATATTCTGCAACGCTGGGACTATCGGTGAGTCAACAGCGGGTCAAAGGAGTAGCAGAGATGACGGTTGCTCCTTAAAAATTATGATTTAAATCGAGTTGATTTAAATCAAGCCCTTTTACTAGTGATTTAAATCACTAGTTTAGGGGGGACCGGGGATGGGGACTATAAACTACGGGGACCCTCTCTCTCTGCCATGGAGGTATTCGGTGGTCTGTCTGGGGAGCTCTACTTGGTGCCCTGCAGAGGCTGGGTAACCTCTGAAGAATGTCTGCCGAAGAGTTTGGCTCCGGACGTGGTGGATGGCTGCCATTTTTGGCTGCTGTGAAACAGGAAATATGGAAAGCATTTGCTAATGAGGGACGGTGCCTTGAGAGTGGATGGTGCTTTACAGTAACAGTACTGCAGGCAAGCCCGTTCCGTTATTTTTGCATCTTTATCAGCTGAGCTGTTCTGACAGGGTGGCTTTGATTTAAATCCAGCCGCTTTAAATCAACTCGATGTAAATCATAATTTTTTTTTTAAATAGCAGCTGCCATCTCTGTCCCGCAGGAAACTCCTCCTCTAACCCACTGTTGACTCACCGACAGTCCCAATGTTGCAGAATATACAGCTTCATGCGACATAACTAAGCTCCATTTCATGCTGCAGGAGCTAAATTATTAATGCACCTTAAATAGAAAGCTATATTTGGATAGATTTTTTTTTTTTTACTCCAAAAGCATTTTATTAAAATAAATTTGATGAAATTTTTTTTAAAAAAATAAATCCAATTTAAATTATTTTAAAAATATGATTTTTTTTTATTTAAAAAAAACAAAACATTGATTTTTATCCACCTTGTGTTCTGGACACCGAAGGGGAGGGGAAATTCCAGCCCCGTCTGGGAGGAGGAGGAGCGTTGTGAAGTCAAACACAAGTCGTCTTCTTTCTCGAGAGGCAATTTGGTCCCGGCGGAAATCTCTTTTTGTCATATTATTTTATCTGCCCTTTCTGGCTTTGCCTTGGAGTCGGGTGGTGGAGGGAGAACGAAAGTACAGATACGAACCCCAACTCCCAAAGCAGTGCCCACCACTTCCTCCTCCATCTTTGTTGGGGCAATAGGAAGGTTTGATTGCTGGGTGGGGATGGGTGGTGGGGTTTAAGACAGTTGATGCTGAATTGCAAGGTTGTTTGCGGGGGGGGGGTCTTCTGGGAACAGCCATCCCCTGATCCATCATTTGTATTGGTTGAGTCTCCACTTGGCAGAGAGCTTAATTATCGTTGACCTCATCCCAAGACTGATGGACTTTGTCATCCGTGTGCCCAAAGGATGGCATGACATATTGCAAACTCAAGGCCCCCCGTTTCTACCCCAGCATCTGTCCAATGTCTAGAGTGGTTTAGAGGTGGAGTTCTAGCCTCACAATCAGGAGACTATGAGTTCAATCCTAAATAGAGGCAAATACTTCTTTCTCTGGGCACAATGAATATATATATAATTTTTTATTGTGAAATTATTATAATACAATTCCAACATTTCCGGTTCCATGGTGTTAATACATATATACATATTATTTTCTTGTTATTTACATATTCTTACATCTAGTTGGTACTACAGGTAGTACTGCTCATTTCTATATAACCATTATAAATTAATTATTGAATTAAACTTTAAACTCTCTCAAGCTTCACTTTTCTTTTCTCTAACCACTCATACCACATATCCCACACGCTATAATAATCCGTATCCTCTCTATCATTGATTTCTAGTGTTAGTTTGTTCATTTCAGCGCACTCCAATATTTTCCTGATTACGTGTTCTTCAGGTGGTAACTTTTTTTCTTTCTAATACTGGGCGAAGGAGATTCTTGCAGCTGTTACTATGTGTGTAATTAAGTACCTCTTCTTTTTTGCATATTCTGTTTTCAGAATTCCCAGGAGAAACATTTTTGGTTCTAAATCAATAGTGTCTCCTGTTATTTCCGAGATCCATTTCCGTATCATCCTCCAGAATTTTCTCACTTGGGCACAGGTCCACCAACAGTGATAGTAGGTGCCTTGTTGATGGCCACATTTCCAGCAATTCGAACTCATATTGGGATAAATTTTTGCGATCCTGGCTGGTGCTAAATGCCACCTGCACAATGAAAATATATCTGCTGAACAAAACTCTGCGTTGGCGACAGGAAGGGCATCCGGCCAGTAAAACACTCTGCTACCTCCATTCAGTTGCCCAAATTCCACCCCGCAAGGGATTATGGGGTCGTTAAAAGAAGATGATGATCTGTCTGATTATGAGATCATGCCCATCCCACTGGTTGGCCATTCCTCAAGTTGAATTTATGTTTGCTAAATTTGTTGTACATCACTTTCTCCTTTTTTTCCCCAGAGTGAACAGCAGCTGGACTGTGCCTTGGATTTGATGAGGCGTCTTCCTCCCCAGCAAATAGAGAAAAACCTCAGCGACCTGATTGATTTGGTGAGTAGGCGGGCATCGCGCGCACATTAGGCCCTTTCATGTTCTGCAGAAGCTGCTGGAGAGCTGATAGATCCAAAAGAATCCCCCGCCTCTTTAAAAACTCCTGTCTTGCTGGAGTGGGTTGTCTCGCCCTCCTTGGGTTGGAGAGTGAGGTTGTTTGGGGAGGGGGTGTCTTGGCTCTGTTGGTTTGTTTATATTTCTGTGATGACCCAGGGCACGGCACAGAGGCAACGCAGGCAGCTGGCAGTTCAACACCCCCCCCCCTTTTTTTGCTTCAAATTTCCCCAAACGCTCCCACGTTTCTGGCAAGTACCAGAGCAAAGTGATGACACCCACCCACACCTCTCTCAAGCAGCCTCTGGCTGCAAATAGTCCAGCCCAATGCTGTGAGCACCATGGCTGCAAAGCAAGAAATCCAGCAGGGCAAGTCGAGGAGTTCAGGAAGCAAAAGAGCAAGGCAAGGAATCCAGAAAGAAGGCAAGGAATCCAGGAAAGTTCAAACGTCGGGACTCGACGCTCCAGGAATTTCAGCGTTTTGTTCCCCGACAAATGCCCCTCCCCACAGCGTCTCCTTAAATCTCAGTCCCCAGGTGTGCCTTGTGAAGAGGGGCAGGGCGCTCTCCTCCTGAGAAGCCGGGTCAGTCTGCGTTGTTCTCGCCTTCTCTCCACTCTCCGTGCTCGCGGATCAGGAGGGGCTGGTTCCTTGCTCATCGCCTGAGCTCTGTCTCTCATATTCACTGCTTTAGCCTCTCGGTCATCCTGTCCCCCACTTCCTCCCTACCTACAAGCCATCCCAATCCTGAAAGGCCCCGGCCTGACTGGGCCTGTTCCTCCCCCATTTTCCTCCTAAGCCAACGAAGCCGCCCCCTCGATCTCCCTCAGCTCCACTTCTGGCTTATCTTCCTCTGCAGATTCAGGCTCTGATGTGGGGGGGGGCATGACAATTTCATCCTCCTGGGGTTTCTTGTTCTCCAGGACAATTCAAAACCCAGTGTAGACCCCCCTCACCAAAGGTGAGCCACCTTTGAGATGAGAGCCCGAAGATGCACTTGTAAGGGCAGTCTCAAATCCCACCTTTTCTTATTTCTTTCTGCTTAACTAAGGAAGAAGAGCCAAGGCGTGTATTTATTTATTTATTATTTATTTATTTATTAATTTAATTTATATACTGCCCTTCTCCCAAAGGGACTCAGGGCGGTGAACAGCCAAAATTAAAATACATACAATACAAAAGTTAAGATAATTAAAAAAGATTAAATCCATCGGCCTCCCAATTTAAAACCCCAAGTCTATAAAATTTAAAAAATCCCATTTAAAAACCATTTAGGCTAGGCCGGCTTGCTGAAATAAAAAAGTCTTCAGAGCCCGGCGAAAGTTCCGGAGGTCTGGGATCAGTCGTATCCCTGGGGGTAGCTCGTTCCAGAGGGCGGGTGCCCCCACAGAGAAGGCTCTCCCCCTGGGGGCCACCAGCCGACATTGCTTGACCGATGGCACCCTGAGGAGGCCCTCTCTGTGAGAGCGTATTGGCCGGTGGGAGGTTATCGGTAGCAGAAGGCGGTCTCGTAAGTACCCTGGCCCTAAGCCATGGAGCGCTTTAAAGATGAGAACCAACACTTTGAAGCGCACCCGGAAGACCACTGGGAGCCAGTGCAGCTCGCACAGGAGAGGTGTTACATGGGAGCGCCACGTCGCTCCCATAATCACCCGCGCGGCCGTGTAGAATTCATTGCTCTGAGTTTCCGGCTGGTTTGAGTTTTTTGTAATATCAGTTTTACCCGTCTGAGCGACGCCACCGCCAGGCCAGCCTCGCATCTCTCTGCTCTCCCCAGTTTCAGGAAGGCCACTGAAGGTCGTCCAGCGAAAGAAATGCTCCCCCAATCAACTCCTTTAGCCGGGACCCCAAAGGGGTTTAGTGCTGGTCTCCGTGGTCCCCGGAGCAGCCGTTGATGGCCTTGCCAGATGCGATTTGCGCTGACCGAGGAGAAGGCCTAACTTGAACATGAAATGCAAGGGCGCGTCCAGGCAGGCAGGCAGGCAGGCAGGCGGGGTCCTTTCTGGGTCAGCACCCTTTCCCCAAACCCCCTGGTGGATGACCTTCCTCGCCCATTAGCCCAGCTGTCTTCCGCGCCTTCTTTCACGGGCTGCTAAGTTTGCAATTAGAGTTCATTAGCGCTCCTGTCAGTCAAGGGGTCTCTCTGAAGCCCTGCCTGAAAATAGGAGCGTGCGTGCCGGTCTACCCAGTCCAAGAGGAACACTTAATGATTGCTCAACGGGCAGCTTGGCCTCTTGGGGCAGCGGAGGAATTTAGAATGCGGGCTGCACGCTGCGGGACCTTTCGAGGAGAGGAACGGAGGCCGCGCTCCCTGCGAGTGGAAAGCATCTGAAACGCCAGGCCTGCCCTGAAGCAACATTTTGTCCTGGCCGTGCAGATTCGTACCCTGTGTGTGACTGAGGCACGCACGCGGAATTTATTGTTGTTATATCTCTGTGTGTGTGTAAAGGACAGCATTGTAATTTGCCTGGTGGTATGCGTAAATAAGGGGAAAAGGAAGCTGAGAACTGGGCACGGAAGTGTTGAGGATCTTGGGTTGGTGTGTGGGCCACCCATTTTCCTCCCTCTGCAGCTCAGGAACCCAAGCAGATGGCTGTGGATCTTACAGATAGACAGAATAACAAGAGTTGGAAGGGACCTTGTAGGTCATCTAGTCCAACCCCCACCGCCCAAGCAGGAGACCATACACCATTTCTGACAGATGGCAGTGCAGTCTCTTCTTGAAAGCTTCCAGGGATGAAGCTCCCACAACTTCCGAAGGCAGCTTCTCTTCCATGGGTTGATTGTTCTCACTCTCAGGAAATTCCTCCTTATTTCCAGGTTGAATCTCTCCTTGTTCAGTTTCCATCCATTATTCCTTGTCTGGCCTTCGGGTGCTTTGGAGAATAGCTTGACCTCCTTCCTCTCTGTGGCAGCCCCTCAAATATTGGAAGACTGCTATCATGTCTCCCCTGGTCCTTCTCTTCACTAGACCAGCCTTGCCCAGTTCCTGCAACTGTTCATTGTATGTTTTAGTCTCCAGTCTCCTAATCATCCTGGTTGCTCTTCTCTGCACTTTTTCTAGAGTCTCCACATCTTTTTTTTTTTAATTGAAAAGTTTTACAGAAAAAAAAAGAATTTTCTTCCCCCCCTGTCCCCCCCTCCCCTCCCCTCCCCTCATCCCACCCTCCCCCCCAGACTTCCCAGAGCAAAATACAAGGTGTTTCATTTAACAATCATAAGCTAAATTAACCTACTTATCCTCAAACTACTAACTCCCCCCTCCCCGAAACCTTAACTCCACTATAGATACATAATACTTCTAATACTTAACATTCATTCATAAGCTATTTGATATTTTCTTGTCTGATACTTATTTTGAATATAATCAATCCATCTTCTCCATTCCGATACGTATCTTTCTTGTGTCTCGACATCTTTTTTATAGTGTGGGGACCAAAACTGGATGCAGTACTCTAGGTGTGGTCTTACTAGGGCTTTATAGAGTGGTATTAGTACCTCTCTTGATCTTGTAGGTCATCTTGTTTGAGTCACCGCTCCACCACTTTGTCCCAAGAAACGGCCTTGGAGATGGGCCCGGTTGCACCTCTCTAAAATCCAGCGTTTTACACCCCTAACCCTAATCCTGGATGCTCCTGTTCCCGGCTTCAGCACCTCAATGGGAAGAGATGGCCGGCCGGCTGGCTGGCAGATTTTTTTTTTTTTTTAAAGGCCTGGCGTCCTTTTCTGAATGACCTTCTGAACCGGGCAGTTGCCGTGTCTCAAATGCTGGAGCAACCACGGGGTCTCCGAATTTGGGGTCCTCGGCTGAAACGAGGGCTTTGGCCAAAATTAACTTCACCTCCCTCAACGCAAGCCAGTTTTCCACCGTGGCTGTAAAAGGAAAAGTCTCAAATTACCACCAAGCCATTAACCTTAGGTCCTCTTAGTATAAATCCATCCAGACAGGCTGAGTTATGCATTGGAACAGAAGCCACTTTATTAAAAAAAATAAAATAAAATAAAATAAAATAATGGAGCTGGACCGCTTCCCTGAGACTGTTCCACCAGATCTTTTTGGATCTGCACAAGACGGATCAGCCTCTAAATCTCTCTCTCTCTCTCTCTCTCTCTCTCCCAGCTGGCCAAACGAAGCACATATTTTTACAGTCGGTTGCAACCAGCGAGCAGGAAAGAATGCGGGCAGCTCCCCCTTTGCATTTATGGCAGAAAGGTGAACGGCGGGTTAAACGCCGAACCGATGTTGCACAGCCTCAGAATAATTCTGTGCGAGAAACGGGCTTAAGAGGCGCCGTTTTCCAGACAAACCCTTTCGTTTTCTGTCGGTTCTGTTCAGTCCAAAGCGAGGACTGAGCATTCGGAACGGACGTTGGGAGGCCGGGCGCGCGTGGGAGGCCGTTGCGGAAGATCAGACAGATCTACTCTTGCTTCTTAGGTCAACGGAGTATTGAAAAATCAATTTTCCGCGGATCCCATAAAGCCGTGATGGCGAACCTATGGCACGCGTGCCACAGGTGGCACGCGTAGCCATATCAGTGGGCATGCCAGCTCAGCTCTGGCGTGCATGAGCATGCCGGCCACATGATTTTCAGGCCTTTTGGGCCCACCAGAAGTAGGGAAGCAGGCTGTTTTCTGCCTCCGGAGGGCCTGGGGGTAGGTGGGGAAGGCTGTTTTCGCCCTTCCCAGATGCATAGAGAGGATCTGGAGCCAGGTGACAAAGAAAAACGGGCCAGGAGCAAGGGGGGAGGGGAGGTTGGGCACGCATGTACAGGGTGGGGCACATAGAATTATGGGTGTGGGCACGCGCGTGCGCGAACCTCCCCCGCCTCCCCCCTTCCTGGCACGCAATGGCAAAAAGGTTAGCCATCACTGCCATAAAGAGTCTGAATTTTTTCATCCCGTGGCGCATAATTCTGCAATTCTCATCTTGGAGGGGGTGTGTGTCTTT